GTACAGGTCATAATCTAGTATTGTCTGGAATTTTGAATTTCATTCTGAAGTTTCAGTACTGTTCAGTCCTGGTCTGGGTTTGTACAGATCCAAACTAGCAACTCTGAACAGAATATCCTCAAATTCCAAATTTTGGAATTAGCTCCTAAAAGTACCAGAGGCTACAAAACCCTTCATTTTTATTAAAAATGAACTGAGATGGTAAATGTCCACAATTCAGCTTCATGGTAGCCTCTCTTCCTTCACAAATTGGGACAAATCATTATCTAACACAAACTTCCTACAAAGAGCAGCACCATACCTTATTTTTTGTCTACTTTTGTACAACTAATAGGCTTAGTATTTCTAAGACAGGCAGATTTTGCATATTTGAGATTAGGTTACAATGACAACACAATGCCTTCCATCTCCACCCAGCACAACCCACATACTGGTTGAAGAGGGCAGATCATGTGCCCAAGAGGCACTGTTTTTCCTCTTTTTCTTTGACCCTGGCCAGGTTGTTTAAGGCATCTGCATAAAGGTTTTAAGGCAAGCTTAAGTCCTCCTTTTTAAAATGCTAATGGGGACCATTGTCCCCAGCTCACTTACAACAGATAAGGTTGCAAAAGAGGAAGAAAACAACTGAAGGCTCCTTCAGGGACTCTCTCCTCTCCCCCACTTAAAAGATGATGAAATTATAAACAGTAATAAAAGAGCAGAGTTTTGACATTCTGAACAAAAATAACTATTACAGGAGTATCTTAATTATCTGAAAGCATTAAACAGTAACTCCAAGAAACAGTTAACGGTGGAAGGCAGCAAGGGCAGTTAAAGGGGGCTTCGAATGGGGGTGGGAGGAAGAACAGTGAAGAAGTACACTATTGGACTACAATACCCATCTTCTGAGGAAGCTGTAGTCAGTCGAGATCTTAACGGATTAAAAAAAAAAAAACCAGAATTAAGGCAGTGTAGAAATAGAATAAATCAGAATAGATTAAGTCAATAGAATGAGCCAGTTTCTCAACCTTGGGTCCCCTTGAAGAGGGGTGGACTACAACTCCCAGAAAGCTGGAAAATGGGGGATTCTGGGAGTTGTAGTTCATCCCTCTCCAAGGGGCCCTTATAAGGGACTTATTCTATTTCTACACCGACTTTATTCTGTTCTCTTTTTTAATCCGTTAAGATCCCGGCCGACTACAACTCCCAACTTCCCCAGGCAAAGATGGGTATTGTAATCCCTAGTCCTCATTAACGTTCCCTGCTCTTCCCTCCCCCACCCCATTCGAAGCCCCTTTAACGTTACCGTTTATTGGGATTACCGTTTATACTTGCCCAGGCGAAGATGGGTATTGTAGTCCAAACATCCTTCTCACTGTTCTTCCCCCCACCCCCATTTGAAGCCCCCTTTAACCACCGTTGCCGCCTTCCAACGTTACTGTTTATTGGGGTTACTGTTTATACTTGCCCAGGGGAAGATGGGTATTGTAGTCCCCAAACATCCTCCTCATTAACGTTTCCCTGCTCTTCCCTCCCCCACCCCATTCGAAGCCCCCTTTAACCGCCTTCCAACGTTACTTGTTTATTGGGGTCACCGTTTATACTTGCCCAGGGGAAGATGGGTATTGTAGTCCCCAAACGTCCTCCTCACTAACGTCCCCTGCTTTTTTTCCCCCCTCCACTCAAAATTCGAAGGCCCCCCCCCTTTTTTTTAACCGCCTTCCAACCGCCCGGGGGGGGGGCCTTCGAACAAGTCTCCCGAGGCCTCCCCGTCCTCACCTGAGGGATCCTGAGGAGGATGCCGGCCGACTGGATGAGCTCACAGCCCTGGATCCGGAGCTGCCCCTCGGTCTCGGCGTCGAGGCCGTTGCTCATGGAAGGCGTAAAGCGAAGAGTCTCCTCAGGCAGGAGGCAGTTCTCCAAGGTGAGCAGGACTCCCGAGTAGAGCCGGTCGCCGATGCGGAGCGCCCCGGGCGGAGGAGGCGCGGGAGGCGGCGGGAGAGGGCCCGGACCGCCGCTAGAAGACGACGACGACGACGAAGACGACGAGCAGCCGGCCGAAGCGGCGGCCGTCCGAACCGAGCCGAGTCCGAAGCCGGCCGGGGCCGCTGCGGCCGTCGCGGGTGCCAACATCGCCGCCATCTTGTCCGGACGACGTCGCCACCTCCGCTCCCTCTCCGACGGCTTCCACCCCACTTCCGGCCTCCTCGCGCCCGGCTTCCGGCTCGCGCCAGGCGCCCGGCCCCGCCCTGAGGCCGCGACGTCTCCGATTGGCCCGCCTTCGGGAGGCGTCGGCTTTCCGATTGGCCAGCGCCAAAAGAACATCTCCTTTCCCCCGCCCACCCACCCTCCCGCGTGACGCAACGTTGGAAATTTTCAATTTTTCCTTCTCGGCGGAAGTTTCGCACGAAGAAGGGGGGGGTGGGGGGGAGAGAGAGCGAGAGACAATCGGAGCTTCCCGGCATGCAACGCGCGCGGGGTTTCTTTTCTACTTCTTCTCAAAAGGAAACGTTGGGTTCTACCACTTCAAAATTGCGGGGGGGGGGCCCGAAAAGAATTGGCGGCTTTTGTTTCGCCAAATACGGAAGAAATAACACGGCAAGAGGCGGCTGCTTTTTTTTTTTTTTGGTACTCTTTCCCCTTATTTTTAACCTTTCAAGAGGGGAAGAACTTCTCCATATCGGCTCCCCCCCTCCTGCGTTGTAATGGTACAACCCAGATACAAAGTTCTGAATTCCCAGCTTCCATTGATTTTTGCTGCCAAGAATGGCAGAATTAAATCTTATTCTGGTTATTTTATATATATATATATAAAAACCACACAAAACACCCTGTGATGATAATTCCCGTGCTAGCTCAGAGCTATGGGCATTGTAGTCCTCCTTTCCCAGGAATGAGCATGCACCAAATCACCCATCCACTGCAAGCATTTCCTATTATTGCTGGCATATATATAAAGCTTTGCAAAGCTCATAATCAGAGGTGGATTTCCTTATATGGTCCTTGCGCTGGTTGTGATGGCACAGGGCAGTGGGCCTGGTTAATGAATTCACACATAGGGGGTGCAACACCCCCCTAACTCACCATGTGGGACTGATCTGCATGCCCAACCTGGTTAAAAACTAACCCTGGTTTATTTATTTATTTATTTATTGCGATTTATATGCCGCCTTTCTCCCTAGGGACTCAAGGCAGCTTACAAAAAGACAACTTCAATACAAATCACAATACAATACCAAATTAAAATCAGTAACCCAATTAAAAACGATTTAAAATTATATCAGTGTACCCCCAAACGGATCAGTTTAATTGGCGGAAGAGCCACGTCTTTAGCTCGCGACGGAAGGAAAGAAGGTCGGGGGCTGTCCTGAGCTCAGTGGGCAATCCATTCCAGAGGGTCGGGGCTCCCATAGAGAACGCCAGACGATTACAGACGATGGCAAATATGCGTGTCCCGGGGACAGAGTTTTTGCGTTCTGAGCTTCCAGACTCGTGCTGGAGCCCATATTCGGGGGGACTTCTCTCTTAGCAATGTGTGTGTGGGATATTTATTGAGTCTGTCATCTGCACCTCTATAACTGTTTGGTTTGGTTCTGCAACAAGACAGACACAGACTTCAGAGGATAATTAGAACTGCGGAAAAAACCATGGCTACCAACCTGCCTTCCATGGAGGACCTGTCTACTGCACGAGTCAAAAAGAGAGCTGGGAAAATATTTACAGACCCCTCACATCCTGGACATAAACTGTTTCAACTCCTACCCTCAAAACGACGCTATAGAGAACACACACACCAGAACAACTAGACACAAGAACAGTTTTTTCCCCGAATGCCATCACTCTGCTAAACAACTAATTTCCTCTACACTGTCAAACTATTCACTAAGTCTGCACTACTATTGCTATTAGTCTTCTCATCGTTCCTATCATCCATCTCCTCCCACTTATGACTGCATGACTATAATTTGTTACTGTATCTTTATGATTTATATTGATAGTTTCCTAGTATGATTTGATTGCTTATTTGTACCCTATGACTATCCTTAAGTGTTGTACCTTATGATTCTTGAAGAATGTATTTTATTCTCCTTATGTACACTGAGAGCATATGCACCAAAGATAAATTCCTTGTGTGTCCAATCACACTTGGCCGATAAAGAATTCTATTCTATTCTATTCTATTCTACTCTACTCTACTCTACTCTACTCTACTCTACTCTACTCTACTCTACTCTACATTTATACAGTGCCTGTTGTATGTGACTTTTTAGATAATGATTGGGGTGCATTGATGGCTGGCTTTTAAATCGTTGGCCCTCGCCTATGAAAACTAGGGAGCCCTTAATATTAATTTGGTTGTTCAGTTTTATTAATTTTACTTGATAAGCTGGTGATAAATCAACACTCCTGTTCACTGAGGAAGGGCCCCGCTTCCCAGGTTTCAATTGCATCCCTGGCTGTTTTTGTGCCTGCTGGTCCAACAATCTTAGTAGCTGTAAAATTGAATGCGTGTCCTTGTCCGTCGCAATGCGAGGCTGCCGATGAGTTCCGTTCTCGTCGTCTGACCTCACGCTTGTGTCCTTGCTGTCGTTAGCTTCCTTCCCGTCTATCCTACATAGTCATAGGGGCAATCCATGCAGGGGATCCAGTAGTATCTCCCACTTCCAAGCAATCTTTACAATGCGTAATTTGTCCTCGTATGGCTACTCTGAATTTTTGTGTGAGAGAACTTGGCTTCAGAGAAATGTTCATTTAAACCCTTTCCCATTACCCTTTGCTCTACTTTAAAGTTCATTTTATGTATGCGTAGTATTCTTTAACCTTTGTTTTGCTTCCTGTGTTTTACTGAATAAAAAATCTGGGAAAAAATGAAGTCTCTGAGCTAGATTTTACCCAACAACTTAATGCAGATGGGACATACCTGGATATATGCCCCAACTTGAATAGCCACAAGCCACGGACCAAACTGGATGACTTTCAGAAATCATTGCTTCGGCTCAAGCAGGGAGAGAGAGAGAAAAAAAAATCAACATTTTTATTTTTAAAATGTCTCTTTTTTCATTTGAGCAGAGCTCATTGGGAGCACGTCCCCTTCACAGATGTTTCACTAGGCGGGAAAATATTCCTTCGGGTTCCTTTCCTTCTCCTTGGGCTGCAAGGAGTCCTTCTTCCCCTCTTCTCTTGGCTAAAGCAGCTAAAGATTTGAATGTCTTTGGTTCATAGATGGCTAGATCAGCTAATGATTTCCGGTTCAGTTCTACTTGACACTGGGATGTGGGAGAAAGACAAAAGAGAGATGAGCTGGTCTGATTCTTCAGTTCAATTCAACCTTTATTGTCAATGCACAATGTACAATGAGATTGGCTGAGCCACCCTTCGTGCACACACACACACACACACAACATAAATACATCCCCTGATAATAAGCCCAATCGGGCTTTTGAGCGCATGGCAATAAGGCCAAGCGCTTATTTCAGGGTTCAAAAAAATATAAGACAGGGTCTTATTTTCGGGGAAACACGGTATCAATAAGTCACAGTGAAAGAAAGAAAATCCCTAACCCAATCAATCATACTAACAACACACAATCCTCTATACCAGGGGTCAGCAACCTGCAGCTCTGGAGCCGCATGTGGCTCTTTCACCCCTCTGCTGCGGCTCCCTGTCATTCAAAATATGCGTCACACTCGCCAATGTGCGACACCCGTCGGGATGCAATTTATTGAGCTTTTCAACCCCCCGGTAGGCCAACCATGGATAAATCCAAGAAAAGAAAAGTTTCAGAAGAAAACAGGTTTAATTCAACTACATATGCTAGTTTTGTGGTCGCTCAAGAAATAGTCAGGCACGGGAAGGGTTTTGTGGCTCCCGGTGTTTTCTTTTCTGTGGGAAACGGGTCCAAACGGCTCTTTGAGTGTTTCCCACAGAAAAAAAAACACCGGGAGCCACAAAACCTGGGTGGGCGTGGCCAACTCCACATCACTCACTCCCACCCAGTCACATGACCCCCTAACCATGCCTACCCAGCTGGTCATTAGGGCAGAGAACCGGTTGTTAAAAAACACCGGGAACCACAAAACCCTTTTCTCTCTTTCTCTCCCCCACTTTCTCTGTATCTCTCTATGTCTCTCTCCTCCCTCTCTCTCTCTCTCTGTATCTATGTCTCTCTCTCTCTCTCCCTCTCTCCCCCCTCTCTGTGTATCTCTCTATGTCTCTCTCTCTCCTCCCTCTCTCTCTCTCTGTATCTCTGTCTCTCTCTCTCCCTCTCCTCTCTCTGTATCTCGGATTTCCAAGGCCAGATGAGGAGTGACTGGGAGGGGAGGTCGAGGGGTGGGGCCAGCCTGTGATGGGACAGGGAGCCGCAGCAGAGGGCCCAAAGAGCCACATGCGGCTCCGGAGCCACGGGTTGCTGACACCCGATCTAGTGATATCAGGGGAGAGCCCATGATGTTTTGTGCCGTGCTCCTCACCCTCTGTAATGTCTTTCTATCCGCGGATGTACATTTCCTGTATTTTTTTTTTTATCCTATCCAACCATGAAAAGTTCAAGAAAGAAAGAAAAAAAGCAGAATTGAACTTTGTACCCCAAAAAAAAAATCATTTGTAAACTTTGACAGCCTGCTGCAATCCTTCCCCATTTTTTAAAAAAATAGATTTAAAATCACTCATGCTCACAGAGATGAACCACAGGCCATCAACGGGACAAAACCCCTCCCCACCTTAAAGTAAAATAAAACATTCAAAATATACGGCAAATTTAAAAAGGATAACGTCAAGCAATTCTAACAAAAGCAATGATAAATTGGTGGCGTCATTTCATCGCCTACAAGCTCTCTGGAAGAATGCAATTGTTGAAAAGCGGCGTCTGGAAATTTAAAATAGAAAGAAAAAAATATTAAAGCCGATTACCTTATAAAGGCCGCTCATGAAATTATGGTACTTCACACCGTGCTCCAGCGAAGCCGCTTCGATCCTGGTTTCCCAAAGCTGAAAGAGAACGTGCAATATTCATAAGATTTTGGTAAAGAACACAGGAGGAAAGATGTTTGCAGAGCTGCGGGCCGTCCCTGGCATAAAAGCCAGGGAAAAATCTGTTTCCCCTAGTCCTACCTGGAGATGCTAAATTAAATCTAGGGTTTTTAACATGTTTACCTATTACATGGAAAATACAGTATGTGTCTACCTTGTTTCCCCGAAAATAAGATCTAACCGGAAAATAAGCCCTAGCATGATTTTTCAGGATGCTCGTAATATAAGCCCTACCCCCAAAATAAGCCCCCGTTAAAATCGTCAGCAGTCGGAGGCGTTTAGTACTGCATTTCCCCCAAAATAAGACCTACCTGGAGAATAAGCCCTAATGCGTCTTTTGGAGCAAAAATTAATATAAGACCCGGTCCCCCGGTTTTGGGGGAGACACAGTATTATATGGACACTGACAGCTAGAGAATACAAATGGATTCTCCACGGCCAAGAAATTAAGTCCTTCAACATTGGGAAAATAAATGTATGCAGGATGCAATTTGGGTCACTCACCGGGACCAGAGGTTTAGGTTTCCAAGCTTTTGGGCTTATGCTGGAGCCCATCCTCAGGGAACATCTCTCTACCTGAATGTGGGTTATTCTGTGTGTAGTATTTATGTGGTGCCTGGTTGTGTGTGGCTTTTGAGTTGTTGACTGGGGTGTTGATGGCCAGCTATTAAGTAGTTTCTGTTCTTTCCTTGTGGTCTCAAGTCCTCCACTCCTAAGTATCTGATAAGCTGGTGGTAAATCAGCACTCCCATTGACTGACAAAGAGGCCCGTTTCGCAGGCTTCAATCATTTCCCTGGCTGTTTTTGTACCTGCTTGGCCAACAATCTTAGTAACCGCAAAATTGAATGCTGACTAGATTGAAACTGAATGAATTTATGGCTATTATTTAGTGAGTTGAGACTTTTGACATTAGGTATTATGTTGCTGACGGATGTAACTTATGCATGGACAATGGCTATGAAATTCGGTCAGCCTTAACTGAAACTATTACATAAAATGACACACATACGCACACACATATATGAGAGACATTTTATGTAATATTCAATTAAGGATGACCGTATTTCATACCTCCCCCCCACACCTCTCTCTCACACACATACAATTTACATTGTTGTAATTGCATTGTTGCTTGCTTTTCTCTGTGGGTTAGTAAATAAAGGACATTTTCTTAAATGAGCACCCAGCAATTATAGAAGGTAGAAACCCAGGAGAAGATGGGCACTTCAGAATACACAATATTTTATAAATATCTCAAATGTCTTTGGTTCTTCCTTACCGTCCTCATATCTCTCTTTTTCAGATATCTGGCCTTGGTGGCGTACACAAAGGCCCTCCGAACAGCTCGGTAGGCCAAGCTATAGCAGCGGTTCTTCCGTCCACGAAAATGCTGGAGAGAAGGGAAAGGAGGACACAAAGAGAGCAGAACAAAAATTAGAAGAATTACAATTACAAGAAATCCCTCAACTCACCAAAGCCACCCTTGAAGGCGGCTTGATGTGTTAAGACAGGGGTTTGCAACCTTAAACACTCAAAGAGCCACTTGGACCCGTTTCCCACAAAAAAGAAAACACCGGGAGCCACAAAACCTTTCCTGTGCCTGACTATTTCCTGAGCGGCCACAAAACTAGCAGATGTAGTTAAATTAAACCTTCTGTTTTCTTCTGAAACTTTTCTTTTCTTGGATTTATCCCTGGTTGGCCTACTGGAGGTTGAAAAGCTCAATAAATCGTGTGCCGGCGGGTGTCGCACATTGGCGGTTGTGGTGCATATTTTGAGTGACAGGGAGCCGCAGCAGAGGGGTGAAAGAGCCACATGCGGCTCCAGAGCCACAGGTTGCTGACCCCCGTGTTAAGACAATACGTGGCACAACTGGAGGTTGGCATCACTGTGCCGAACCTGAAATGGTTACCCTGTCCCTTCAACCCACAAATCGAGCACTGGCACCATCCAAGACGGGCATCTGTAGCAGGGGTAAAATGCACTTACCTTTCCTACCGGCTAGCTAATCTGCGCGCGCCCCACGCGTGAACGAATGCTTTACACACCCACGTGCCATCACTTGTGCATGCGCACCATCGTCTGTGCACGCCCAAAGCTTTCTGCGCATGCGCAGAGGGTCAAAACAGGGACATGATGATGTCCTGGTTTGGGAGGGGGCGGAGCCTCCCGCCGCCGGCGCTACTGGCTTGCACGAACCGGATAGAGTCGGCTGCATTTCACCCCTGATCTGTAGTAAGAAGTCCCATTCAACAGATCGGGCTGCTGAGAACAGGGAATTCTGGGAGCTGTAGTTCTAAACATCTGGCGGGGGGAACTTAAGCAAAAGCACTGTGAAGTGGTATATAAGTCTAAGTGCTATTACCCTTCCTTCCTCCCTCCCTCCCTCCCTCCCTCCCTCCCTCCCTCCCTCCCTGTGGTTAGAATGCAATATTTCAGGCTAATTCTGCCCACTGCCAGCAGTTCAATCCTGACCGTCTGGCTCAAGGTTGACTCAGCCTTCCAACCTTCCGAGACTGGTAAAATGAGGACCCAGATTGTTGGGGGCAATAAGGCTGACTTTGTAAACCGCTTAGAGAGGGCTGTAAAAGCACTGTGAAGCGGTATATACGTCTAAGTGCTATTACCCTTCCTCCCTCCCTCCCTCCCTTCCTTCCTTTCGTCTTCCCGCCTCCCTTCCTGTGGTTAGAATGCAATATTTCAGGCTAATTCTGCCCACTGCCAGCAGTTTGATCTCACCAGGCTCAAGGTTGACTCAGCCTTCCATCCTTCCAAGGTGGGTAAAATGAGGACCCAGATTGTTGGGGGCAATAGGGCTGACTTTATAAACCGCTTAGAGAGAGCTGTAAAAGCACTGTGAAGCGGTATATACGTCTAAGCGCTATCACTACTATCAGGAGTAAATTTCCAGCAGGAGTAAAGATGACCTTCAGGGGAGCTCAACTCCTGATGTTCAGGTTGCAACTCCAGGCAACCACAACACGGAAGCGGGCTGCCCCTTGCCTCCTTCCAGGATGTTTCTTTGAATCTCTAGCATCGTCTTTTCCTCGTGGTCTCCCATCCCCGGCTCCCAGGCAGCCTAGCCCCCAAAACATCAAGTTATTGACACACACACACACACCCCTCCCGGGTCTAAAAGGAGGGAAGAGGATGGGAAGGAAGACTGGGGTGTGTGGGGTGTGGATGGAGAGACCCTCTCGCTTTACCAGGGCATGTTTGAGGATCAGCTGCTTGCGCCAAAATCGGTCGGTCACCCGGCTCCGGAGCCAAAGCGCGGAAGTAAGGAAAACCATGCCAGCGACCCGGAGTTTTGCAAAAGAGGCGGTCGCCCGGTTGCAGGCTGGAGGTGACCGAGCCACGCGGTGCAATTCCCTTCCTTTTCCCCCTCCGGCTGCCCGGCCAGTCTCAGAAGCAATTGCTGCAAAAAAAAAAAAAAAAAATGCCTGGGCGCAAAGGGGAAAGAGCGCGTGCTCCGCAACCCCGCACTTCCGGCGCTGGTGCGGTGCATGGGAGGGGGGGGCGGAACTCGCCATTTGAGTGGAGAGGTGGGTGAGGAGGAGGAGGAGGAAAGCCGAAGCGACGCCGTCGGGTTTAGATGGGGGTCGGGGTAGTGGGGGGGGGAAGGGACATAAAAGGACGGTTGTCGCTGCTTTGCGCGGGAGAGCCGCCGTGCGATCGTCTTCGTCCCGTCCCTTTTTCCCGTTCGCTTCAATGGGAGCCGCCCCTCAAGGAAGGAAAGAGGAAAGGCCGAACGTGGAGCAAAAGGCAGCTGCGGTTCCGATCGACGCGCCCCCGAAGGAATTTAAAAGAAGGGGAGTTTCCCCTTTCTTTCTTTCTTTCTTTCTTTCTTTCTTTCTTTCTTTCTTTCTTTCTTTCTTTCTTTCTTTCTTTCTTTCTCTTTCTTTCTTTCTTTCTTCCTTCCTTCCTTCCTTCTTCCTTCCTTCCTTAATTCCTTCCTTCCTTCCTTCCTTCCTTCCTTCCATCCATCTTCTTTCTTTCTTTCTTTCTTTCTTTCTTTTTTCTTTCTTTCTTCTTTCTTTCTTTCCTTTCTTTCTTTCTTTCTTTCTTTCTTTCTTTCTTCCTTCCTTCCTTCCTTCCTTCTTCCTTCCTTAATTCCTTCCTTCCTTCCATCCATCTTCTTTCTTTCTTTCTTTCTTTCTTTTCTTTCTTTCTTTCTTTCTTTCTTCTTTTTCTTTCTTTTTCTTTTCTTTCTTTCTTTCTTTCTTTCTTTCTTTCTTTCTTTCTTTCTTTCTTTCCTTCCTTCCCTTTGGCTAATTTGGAAAGGCTGTTGTGCAGGATCGGACCTCATTAGGAGGGGAGACCACCAGGAAAGCCCGGGAGGAGATAAAACTTTCTGGAAAAAGGCAAACCGCTTTGGTCCTGTTGGAAGAAGAAGGGAAAAAAAAAAACCTACAGGGGTGGATATAGATGGGAAGGCGGGATGCTGGTTGGGGACAGGCTGTGGCAGATGGGTCTTCTAGAAGGAAATCCGGGGTGGGGCTCGAAGGGGCTTTTGTGGGCTCTTGGCTCGACCTGCGCACCGCACTTCAAAGCCTGCATTTGTAAAACAACTGATCTTGGATAACCATTTTTTGTCTGAAGTGTGGCGTAGGGCAGTGGTGAAATCCAATTTTTTTTTTACTACCGGTTCTGTGGGCGTGGCTTGGTGGGCGTGGCGTGGTTTGGTGGGTGTAGCATGGGAAGGATACTGCAAAAGTTCACTCCCCACTCCAGGGGGAAGGACACTGCAAAATCCCCATTCCCTCCCCACTCCTGGGGGAAGGATACTGCAAAATCCCCATTCCCTCTCCACTCCAGGGGAAGGATATTGCAAAATCCCCATTCTCTCCCCACTCCTGGGAGAAGGATACTGCAAAATCCCCATTCCCTCTCCACTCCAGGGGAAGGATATTGCAAAATCCCCATTCCCTCCCTACTCCAGGGGAAGGATACTGCAAAATCCCCATTCCCTCTCCACTCCAGGGGAAGGATATTGCAAAATCCCCATTCCTTCCCCATTCCTGGGGAAAGGATATTGCAAAATCCCCATTCCTTCTCCACTCCTGGGAGAAGGATACTGCAAAATCCCCATTCCCTCTCCACTCCAGGGGAAGGATATTGCAAAATCCCCATTCCCTCCCTACTCCAGGCGAAGGATACTGCAAAATCCCCATTTCCTCTCCACTCCAGGGGAAGGATATTGCAAAATCCCCATTCCCACCCCACTCTGGGGCCAGCCAGAGGTGGCATTTGCCAGTTCTCCGAACTACTCAAAATTTCTTCTACCGGTTCTCCAGAACCTGTCAGAACCTGCTGGATTTCACTCCTGTCACAGCTGCCCCAATGGAAGAATCTGACAGCTCAGATTTTTTGCTAAGCTTCACTGAAATAATTTGATTTTTTTTTTCCAGATCTGGGCTGGAAGAAGCCGCCCCAATGCGGCAAGAAAGATCGTAAAACAGGGCAAAAAAAATCCACTTAACAAATGTCTCACTTGGAAACAGAAATGTGGGGCTCAATTGTGGTCGTAAATCGAGGACTATACCGATATTGGGAAACACCACGTTTGAGAGTCTAGGCTTTGAAGCTACCGTGAGGTGTGAAGAGATCTCGGCCTAAAATGCTCTTTTCATCACCTCTGGAAAGTCAGACCGGCCGCCATGAGAAACGCAAAAGAAAATTTCAAACTCCCTGGAAATAAGGAGAAAAATAGAAGCGAAGCTCGTTTGCAGCAGGAAATTACCAGGCAGTTTTGACCCAGCACAAAATCTCCAGTCAGTTGAGCTCCGATCCTTTTGAAAAGGCTATTTAATATCTTTTTAATAGTGAACCGTCAAGCCAAAAAGACAAGAGGCCACAGGTCACACCGTTGCAGCGTCCCGGCGGTCACACGCGATCAACATTCATCAGACCCTCGGCGACTGGTTCGTATTATGACCGTTGCCGTGTCCCCAGGGTCACGGGATCCCCTTCGGCGACCTTCAGACAAGCGAAGTCAGTGGGGAAGCCAGATTCACTTAACAACGGTGTTGGTTCTGAAACGACGGCGGCGCGATTCACTGAACGACGGTGGCAAGGAAAGGTTCGCCAAATAGGGCAAAGCTCACTTAAACCGCCGTTTCCACCGAGCAACAGAAATTCAATTACGGCCGTAAGTCAAGGACTACCTACACGTTTGGTGACCCCCAGGGAGAGCACAGCTAAAGAAAATTCCGGCTTCTGGCTTCACAATGTCAGGTCTTCAGCCGTCTCGTTCCACCAAGTCTTCCGGTTAAAGTCGGCACTCTTTGCTATCAAAAATTCCATCAGGGGAAAGAATTTTTTCTCCGCCGCCAAATGCAAAGCGGTTTTGCCCAGCCACCCAGCCGCGTCAACGTCCGCGCCGTGCTCCAAGAGACAACCGGCTACCTCGGCGTGACCGCCGAGGACCGCCCAGTGAAGTGGCGTGAGCAGGAGGCCGTCTCTTTGAGTAACGCAGGCAGGGGAGCTTCCTTGGAGCAAAAGGCGGACAGACGGCAGGCTCCCGGCGGCCGCGGCCTTGTGGAGCGGGGTGCAGCCATGGGAGTCCGCTAAATTCCGATCCGCTTGGTTCTGGAGCAACAGCTTCACCATCTGAAGAGGGAAGATAGGAAAAGCTTGAGAAAGCCACGGAAGTCATGGCCCAGTTCGGTCGCTTGCACTTGCGCTGAGCTTGCGCTCTGCGCAAGCGCATTAGATTTCCGCCCAGATGAGGCGCGGCAATCCACTCTGCCGTGCCTATCAGCTGGGCTAAAAAATGACAAATAAAGGTAGGTATAACACGGGGGCAGGCGGGAGGGCCCAGCTCATAGTCATAGAGAACCGGTTCGCTGACATCATATCATCACTACTACCGGCTCGCCCGAACCAGGCCGAACCGGGAGCAACCTACCACCGGTAATAATTAATAATAACACTGATCTTAGTATAGATCTGATCTAAAAAGTAAGACCACCTCATGATGACTGTTTTTAGAAGCAACAGAGAGCGCCGTCCTTCCGCCGTCGTCTTGCAGATTCACGTCGGCCCCTTTGGCGAGCAGGAGACGTATCGTTTCGGCCCTCCCAATCTCGGCAGCTATGTGTAAAGGTGCGATGCCGCCCTTGCCTTGGAGATTGGGGTTCACCCCTTGGGAAATCAACCCATTCATTATATGAAGCTGGTGGCCAGCTGTGGCCCAGTGCAAGGAAGTCCACTGGTTACAGTCGGAAGCGTCGGGATCTGTCCCGTGCCGTAGAAGCAGTTGTATCATCAAGGTGTGGCCGTTGGCGGCGGCAAAGTGAAACGGAGTAAGACCCCCTTTGGTTGTGTCCATCACCGGTGCCCCCCGAGCCAGGAGGAGCTCGGCAACTTGGGTATGGCCGCTCCAGGCAGCGTGATGGAGAGGTGTGTAACCGGCCATGTTGTCAGTGTGTACCGTTGCTCCGTGCTGGATGAGAAACTTCACCAAGGGGAAGTAGCTGTGCAAGGATGCGACGTGCAGGAGAGTCCAACCGTTTTCGTCTCTAAAAAGTGTCAGTTAAATAGAAAAAAAAGAAAGCTAAGAAGGCCTTGGATGGAAAGCGAGGGATGCTGGGAAGTTTAGTTCTAGATAGAGGCACAGCTGGAGGTCCGTACCAGGAATGAAATTCAAATTTTGGCCCTACCGGTTCTGCGGGGCGTGGGTTGGTGGGCGTGGCAGAGGAAGGTTACTGCAAAATCCCCATTCCTGGGGGAAGGATATTGCAAAATCTGCATTCCCATCCCACTCTGGATCCAGCCAGAGGTGGTATTTGCCAGTTCTCTGAACTATTCAAAATTTCCGCTACAGGTTCTCCAGAACCTGTCAGAACCTGCTGGATTTCACCCCGGTCCGTATCCAGGCGTGGGCTGCTGGGGGTTCAGGAGAACCTCTAGCTAAGATTCTGTACAGTTCAGAGAAGCCTCGAATCCCACTCTTGGCTGGCCCCGCCCACCCTGCCCCTCCCAGGAATCCCCACGCAGCCCGTTGTGGATGCAGGTAAGTGCAGGGCACGCGTAGAGGCTCAGGGAAGGCGAAAAACGGGCCTACCGGAACTTCAGGAAGGCTGAAAACGGGCCCGTTTCCGGCCTCCAGAGGGCCTCCGGAGCCTGGGGAGGCCATTTTCGCCCTCCTGGAGACTCAAGAAAAGCCTCCAGAGCCTGGGGAGGGCAAAAATGCCCCCCACGCTGCCGTGGTGCCAGAGGCCGACTAGGCCATGCTCACCATGGTCACACTCACCCAGCAACCAGGCAGCAAACCCCTTGCTAAAAATTTTTGAAGCCCACCCCTGTCCGTGCCAGCCAGTTCTCTTTAGAAGTGAAGCCTAGAATGTATGGCTTTTTTGATACACACTGGGTCAAAAGGCATAAGTGCAATTTTCTCCAATGTTTTCTCCTCCCCCCCGCACAGCAAAGGAGGTTTTGGGTTTCCTAACGAGCATTTCTTTCGTGTTTCTTCTTCTTTCGTATCCAGAAAGGTCTCCGCTCCTCCCGTCCATCCTCTTGGCCGATTTCCATTCCTGTGTGAAAGCCAGACTCGAGAACCAAAGGGCTGGTGATTAGATGGCCTTTGCAAACTAGCAGCTACGTGCTAATCATGATTCGTGGCTTAACCTCCAACACTGGAGGTTTTTAAGGAGCGACCGACACCTGACCAAAGCAATAGCAGGAAGTTTCTACCGGTGTCCTCGGGCCTCACCTGCTGTTCGTAGATGCCCCTCGCTGCAACAGCTGTTTTACCAGCCACAGGTCCCCATTCCTGGCTGCCTGATGGAGCTCCCTCCACCTTGGTGCCTTGGCTGTCGGGACCAAATCATTATCGGTACCCTTTGCGATAGGTTCCAAGCCTTCCTCTTTTCGGATTCCCTCGCCGGTGGTTTCGGCCAACACCATCCATTTTCTCATCAGCTCAGCCTGGGTTTTCGCCGCTGTTGAAGGAAGGATGGGGGGGGGGGAAACCAGATCAGCATTAGAGTCTGTGCATCTAAAAAAATAAAAAAGATGCAGCAGAGGTGATATTCAGCAGGTTCTGAAAACTGGTAGCCACAATAGGAATTGCCCAACAAGCCCCTTCATTGCATCAGCCAAACTTCAACCAAACGTATCTCAGACAAACTCCCAGGATTTGTACACGGCCCCATGGGAGTCTGACTACAGCAAATAGAATACATGCTCTTGCCACAGGAACAGGAAGCTCAAGTTCAAAGCCCAAGAGAAGGTATAAAGAACCGTCACTCTCTACTCCATGTGGTCAGCTACCCAGAATCACATGTGCTTGGTGGTTCTGCTTCACCATTAATTAAACCCTCTTTCCAATCAGCCTCCATGTTTCCAGTGTCTTTCTCCCGGCTTGGAACTGAACCCAGAGGGATATTTCTTTCAACACATGGCTGGCTGGGGAATTCTGGGAGTTGAAGTCCATGAGTCTTTATCGTTACCAAGGTAGGACATCCCTGATCTTATCCAAACTTGAGATTTTTGGTTTCCTTCTAAAAGCATAAGAAGCAGGTGGAGACATTTTTATTACCTACCGGTCATTTTTTTCTCTTCTGCTGCCGACTTTTTGATTTACCGCACAATGCTGCTTTTCCAAGGATGTGTAGGAAAGGCGTGTTCACACACCTTTTGAGTTGCTTCTTTTCAGGGAACTTGGCAATCTTTTCTCCAGAGTTTCTTTTATCGCCCGAGAGGTGAGCGCAGGGTGGTGTGTAGCTACTCTTGGTACACGAAGCAGAATTTCCAAAGCAGCTCTGTAAAGAAAGGGAAGGGAGGAAGTCAAGAAGAATCAGGCCTATTATTTTTATTCTGACAATATTTGCTTCATAAATATCCAGGAATGGAGCCGGCGAGCTGAGTCCAGCAGATTGTTCCTTGCAAATCTATGCTCGAGCGTGCAATGAGCTGTTTACTTAATAACTAAGTAGACCTAAGGAGGGAAGGAGACGTGACCGTCTTATGTATCGGTGATTGGATGTCACCTAGCCAGTTGTCCTCCCTTTTGTGTGTACACACACACACACACACACACACACACACACGGTAGACACCCTGACGCAAACGCTTTTGAAACCTGTCTAGATTTTGAAACAGCCTGATGTTTGAGGAACATGGGGCTTGTAGTCCAACACAGGCATGGACTTCAGGTTTGGGAAGGCAGCTAGGAAAATAATGTAGTGGTGATGGGGTGGGGAGGGGAATATCCAGGAATATGAGGCAGACCCAGAAGAAGGTGGAGAGAGGCAATATCTAAGACGTATTACGACAACATCAATTAGCAATGGTTGAGGCTGCCTGAAGAGCAAGAGCCAGAATAGAGGAGGAGGAAGAGGAGGAGGAGGAGGAGGAGAAGAAGAAGAGGAAGAGGAAGAGGAAGAGGAAGGAGGAGGAATGAAGAAGAAGAAGAAGAAAGGAGGAAGAAGGGGAAGGGGAGGAAGTCAGAGATGAAGAGGAAGGAGGAGGAATGAAGAGGAGGAGGAGGAGAGGAGGGGGAGGAAGAAGAAGAAAAAGAAGAAAGGAGGAGGAAGGGGAAGAGAAGAGGAAGACAGAGAGGAAGGAGGAGGAGGAGGAATAAAGAAGAAGAAGAAGGAGAAGGAGGAGGAGAAGAAGAAGAAGAAGAAGAAGAAGAAGAAGAAGAAGAAGAAGAAGAAGAGAAGAAAGAAGAAGAAGAAGAAGAAGAAGAAGAAGAAGAAGAAGAAGAAGAAGCAACGAGGAGGAAAAGATGGGGGGTTGTAGGCCAAGATGTCCTGCCTCCCAGATGAAATCTCACTGTTTAGGATTTGCAGAAGGGTGTGAAGTTCTCCATATAAAGTAAGGTCGTGTTTTGAAAAATCAGACCCAGTGTTTACAAATTGCCGAAAGGTCTGCATTGCTGGATTCTTTAAAAAAAAACAAAAAAAACCCAAATCAAACCTTTAAAATATAAGGTTTGAACCGAATCCTCACTCGCCCTTCACCGTATGAAAGGGAAGAACGGAAAGCTCTTTCTTGGGCACCTCAGTTTGACTCAGTGCCGGGTTGCTGGTTGCCCTTGCAGCTTCTGGGGAGGGGGGGGAACCAAAAAAACACCCTGAATGAGTAGCTTAGCGCCAAAGCGACTCTTCACCTTGAGAGGCACCGCAGGAAAAACACACACACACACACACACAAACACAAGTGGGCGATAAAGAAAACCACACACACAAACACAAGTGGGCGATTTTCCGACAGACAATGCGGCATGCTCCGACATGTCTCCAAGCTGAGGTTACTTCTGTTATTTAATGCCCTGTTTTCTTTTGTTACTCAAGCCTGAAATTCCTTTTAAAAAAACAACAACAACAACAATTAAATGAATGTTACTTGTTAAAATAACAAGAGACACTCCGCCGAATACTTATGAATTTTTTAACATAAATAAAGAAGAGAAGAGTGATCCTACGGGGATTATCTACTTGGCAGCCGGAGCCGTGTCTAGAAATTTATTTACACCTGATCATTAACTTGGCTTCTCTGCCGTGATCTCGCCAGCTGGCCTTTTGACACCTTGGCACTCTGAATCATTACCCGCCCGGCTGGTAAATTACACAATGAATTTTTTAAAAGGGTAACAACACTTCCCTGAACCCAAGCTCTTTACGGGCCTGAGAGGTAAAGGTTGCCCGGAGGCCCAGGAATCCATCACGGGCACCAGAATTGCTTAGGGATCCAAAATTTGGAAAGGAAGGTCCTTTTTTTAAAACAAAACAAAACAAAAACAGCAGTCTTCCAGTATCTGAGGGGCTGCCCCAAAGAAGAGGGAGTCAAGCTATTCTCCAAAGCACCTGAAGGCAGGACAAGAAGCAACGGGTGGAAACTCATCAAGGAGAGAAGCAACTTAGAACTAAGGAGGAATTTCCTGACAGTTAGAACAATTAATCAGTGGAACAACTTGCCTCCAGAAGCTGTGAATGCTCCAACACTGGAAGTTTTTAAGAAGAGATTCGATAACCCTTTGTCTGAAATGGGATAGGGTTTCCTGCCTAAGCAGGGGGTTGGACTAGAAGACCTCCAAGGTCCCTTCCAACTCTGTGATTCTATAATCCCAGATCAATCTCTTTCCTTTCTCTCTCTCTCTCTCTCCCCCTCTCTACTCTCTATCTTCTTTCTCTCCCTCCCTCCCTCTCTCTACTCTCTATCTTCACTCTCTCTCCCTGTCCTTCTCTCTCTTTCCTTCTTTCTCTCTCTCCCCCCTTTTCTCCCTCTCCCTCCTTCTCCTTCTCTCTCTCTCTCTCTCTCTCTCTCTCTCTCTCTCTCTCTCTCGTGGTGTAGGGTTTCCTGCCTAAGCAGGGGGTTAGACTAGAAGACCTCCAAGGTCCCTTCCAACTCTGTTATTCTATAATCCCAGATCAATCTCTCTTTCCTTTCTCTCGCTCTCTCTCTCCCCCCTCTACTCTCTATCTTCTTTCTCTCTCTCTCCCTCTCTCTACTCTCTATCTTCACTCTTTCTCTCTGTCCTCTCTCTTTCCTTCTTTCTCTCTCTCCCCCCTTTTCTCCCTCTCCCTCTCCCTCCTTCTCCTTCTCCTTTTCTCTCTCTCTCTCTCTCTCGTGGTGTAGAGTTTCCTGCCTAAGCAGGGGGTTGGACTAGAAGACCTCCAAGGTCCCTCCCAACTCTGTTATTCTGTATTCTGTTTGCTTATTTCCAGTTCTCTCTGGACCCATGTTCACATTTTGAATAATCTCCTTTGCTGGTTTTATTTCAAAAGTGCCCACCACTGATCCATCAGGCACAAGGAAAGGAGAGATACTATACAACAACTAAATATCTATGGAGATTCTCAAGTCATCCAGGTGGGTCAATGTTGTCCCAAAGGTGCCTTTTTCAAAAAGGCAACCGGACATTCTTGAGGTTTTTTCTTTCTTTCTTGAAGACATTTCGCTTCTCATCCAAGGAGCTTCTTCGGTTCTGACCATTCAAGTCAGAACCGAAGAAGCTTCTCGGCTGAGAAGCGAAACGTCTTCAAGGGGAAAAAAAAACAAAGGAAGCCCAGTTGCCTTATGAAAAAAAACCCCAGCTTTGGATGGGCTACAACTAGGAGATTTTTTTCGTCAAATCGGATGAACACAAGATGTAAGGTAAAGGTAAAGGTTCCCCTCGCACATATCTGCTAGTCGTTCCCGACTCTAGGGGGCGGTGCTCATCTCTGTTTCAAAGCCGAAGAGCCAGCGCTGTCCGAAGATGTCTCCGTGGTCATGTGGTCGGTAGGACTCAACGCCAAAGGCGCACGGAACGCTGTTACCTTCCCACCAAAGGTGGTCCCTATTTTTCTACTTGCATTTTTTTTTACGTGCTTTCGAACCGCTAGGTTGGCAGAAGCTGGGACAAGTCACGGGAGCTCACCCTCGTTACGCGGCGCTAGGGATTCGAACCGCTGAACTGCTGACCTTTCAATCGACAAGCTCAACGTCTTAGCCACTGAGCCATCGCGTCCCTTACAACTGCGAGATATTTTTTTCTTCTTCAACACAAGATGGTGCTGTAAGCAAGAAGAAAAGAGAGAGGGCCACCATCCCCGTTGGTGGCCACAGAAAGATCTCAAGGAGGATACTTGCGTCAAGAGAAGTGGGTTACAATCCACCCTCGCGACAGGTCCTTCCTTTGAAAATTCATATATATAGCTTCCGCGGGGGCGGAGAGGAATAAAATGAGGATTGTCGAATTCCCAAGAGCGATAAAATGCCAAAGAAGAGTGCTATCTGCGCCAATTAAGTGAGCGTTTCCGGTAGCCGTTCATGGCACTAATGTTATCGTGTTCGCGTTGTTAACTTCATTAGCGCTTGACTGACCACTGTTGGGCCTGCTAGAAATCTCTGTCCTACTTTTGTCGAACCTCCAAATCAGTGGTGAAATCCACATTTTTTTTACTACGGGTTCTGTGGGCGTGGCTTGGTAGGCGTGGGGTGGCTTGGTGGCCGTGGCAAGGGAAGGATACTGCAAAATCCCCATTCCCTCCCCACTCCTGGGGGAAGAATATTGCAAAATTTCCATTCCCACCCTACTCGGGGGCCAGCCAGAGGTGGTATTTGCCGGTTCTCCGAACTGCTCAAAATTTCCGCTACTGGTTCTCCGAACTACTCAAAATTTCCGCTACTGGTTCTCCGAACTGCTCAAAATGTCCGCTACCAGTTCTCCAGAACCTGCTGGATTTCACCTCTGGTCCAAATCAGGAGAGGCTGTTCCGACCCAGCCTTAGCAGAAACAAGAAACAGACTAAATGAATGGATGTTAAGTCAGGGACTATCCTGAAAAGTAATTGCTTTCCAGTGATATCTTTGGCCTTTGGCTGTAATAAAGATGAATTTGTACGTTTAGTTAACTCACCGCAGCAGTATAACCTTTAAGATCGTCTAAACTTCTTCCTCTATCAATTCTTACAGAGGTAAAGGCACCTGAGAGGTGGCAAGAGAAAGTCTTAAAAAGTCAAAATGGCAGAAGTAATTGGACTTTTTTTTTTTTTTTTGGACCCCTCTTCCTCTGCGGATGCCCATTGTGAGGGGTCGTTCCACCATCCAAGATTTAACCCTCTTTTTCAAATCCTGAACATTTACTCCCAAATTTTGCCATTTCAGATCGTTGCTCCGTCGGTCACTTTCGACGTCCCACTGAAGGTGGGAGAATTGCAGTTCTGCTTGGCTGTGGATGATGGGCACTGTAGTGTTTCTGCACTACAGCTCTGTGCATACGTGCATCTCAGGGGTGGGTTCTACTTACCTTTACTACCGGTTCGCAACGGGA